TATGACTGCTCCAAGAACAAGCAATCTCTGATAGACGCTAGCGAGTCTAGCGTTTCAAACGAACGACACGAGATGCGATTATCGCTAAAATCGCTTTTAGAGAAGCGTATTATGTCGAGAAATCAATTGCTCTTGACACTGCTCGCCATTCACTGCTTCGCATATTGTTAAGCAACATAAATCGCGCTACAACTGCAGCATACGTGTAGTTTAATGGCCGATCGCAATTCACATGGTCAATTTTGATTTACTATGAAAGTGTAATTACATACAAAGTAACAAATTTAAATTTAGTCCAATTACTAGGCAGCAGCGTTTAATAAAGTTTTATGTACATCTATTAAAGTTCGAAATTACGGTGCAATATAATCTCATAATTTATGAGAGAAGCGTTATAACTTTCAAGTTTTGATACAGAACAAACCTTGTACTGTACCGATATGAATATACAGAGTGATTTCTTTAAATACTAATGAATATGTTAAATATATAATATTTTGAGTAAAAATATAACAATTAATATATAAAAAAAAATCATTATAAATAAATTTTAAAAAATTAAATGTTATAAATAGGCTATTAATGTTATTATTGATAGTTGATTATCATTGATCCCCGAAAAAAAAAACAATATCTGCTCATAAAAAAAATGGATATTAGAATAAATAAAAACTAGCTCATGCAATTATAAAATTTAAATAATAATATAATATATTTTTATATATAATTGTATATCATTACAATATAAATGTTGCTGGTAGATCAAGACCAAGAAAACTGTGTTAGAAAATTACAGATAGCAAGCGGTGCAGTAGTTAGTAGTAGATTTAGATTTTACAATGAGTTTTTTCATACACCTTGTATATTTATTTATATATTTGAGTTATAAAGCAACAAATGTTTAAAAAATTTATGTGAGAACTAAGTTTCGAGATGAATAAAAGATACATAAAATTAGTTTTGGATTTTCCATTCTTATGAGAACGAAACAAATAGAAGGGACTATATATATACAAAAATATGTAAACCTAAAATCAAGACATACATATACAATCTCTAAAGAATACGAAATACAAAAACGAACAAACACTTTGTCTTTGTTATATTCGTTTTGGGCGTCTTTCTCCGTATTGTAAAGCCGGCCGTGATTTATGCCCTCTTTATGGAACGCTTTTTATTTACAGGGTTGGATTTCGTGCTTTTTGTAGATATTAAATAGAGTTCTGTTATTTTTTATGACTTTATTTTAATAGCGGTACATCAGATTTGACGAGCAATAAATTATATAGTAGATAATTAAAGTTCCAAAAAATTACTCCTACAAAATAGTGAAAATTATTTTTGAACCTTAAAAGTAAAAACCAATTTAATAAAAAATAAAAAAATCTCTCCACATATTCTATGCACACTACTTTAACCAATTCATCTATCGGGACATAAATAGCTGACATCTAGATTGTATAATAAAAGTTTATTCATATTATAGAGAAATAAAAAGGAACTTTATTTATTTTATAATAAAAATTGATGTATCCATTTAAAAAATTAAAAATACTGATGTTTTGTTAATTCAAAAATGTAAAATTTTTTTTTTTCATTTCTTATAATAAAATATATTTTAATATTAAGTACTAGTTAATTAATACCTTCTACACTAGGAGGTTCTATATCATAATTTAATTAAAAGACATTTTAACCTATTAATTTAACCCTAAAATTTAAATAAATACAAACAAAAATAATTAGTCACTAAAAGTCAACCTCAAATCAAAATAAACTTTCGAATTACAACCGACAATCAACAATTCGATTAAAAGTGGAAATTACCATAAAACACTTTAATCTCTTTCCAAATGTAAATCTTCCATAATATATTCAAAAGCAATAGCGAAGGTTTTAACATTCAATTAAATAGTAATTGCTTTATTGTTTCATTGCGATTTACTGAATAAACTGTTAAAACAAAAATATGTTAATTTCATTTATAGAGATTATAGTCTAGTCAAGGAGATTTTATTAAAAACTAATATATCAAAAGTCTTAGGGTCTGCATACCAAAATCGCAAATACTGTAGCTGTAAAGGAGAACATTCTCCTCAAGATGATTTCTATAGGTTCTCAGTATTTTTTTAATAACAAGCATCGTTGTGTAACATTCCAAAATAACGCTAATTTTAATTTAACTTTACGTCTAACGATAACATTGTCCAGTTGAGTTAATCAGAAACTCGCAGGAATGTGAAGTGTGCTACATGAAGTGTTGGGAAACGGAGTGACCCCAAAGGGATCGATGGGTTTCGCACGGAATTATTTAGAGCCTTTGTTGGTTTTTTTCGGTTGTGAATCATCCAGGGCATTCACCTATCCGGTTTGAGTTATTTCGGTTCCTAAGGTATTTATGTTTTCTTCCCCAAAAATGTTTTATTACCGGAAAGGATGTAAAGCAATGTGTCAAATTATTTTTAAGGAAATGAATGTGGAAAATTCACATCACCGTTTGGTAATCAATCAGAAAACTTGTTTTTTTGCTGGATTTCCACGGACAACCGAAAAATCTTCCGAAAATGTTTCTCCTAGCGTCAGCACGATATTCCATAACTTTTTATTACTATATATATGAGAATAGGTTGGGAAATTTCTAAAAGATAATAAAAAAAACAATATTGTGGGAAACTATATGGTGCAATAGATTTTTGGGAAAACTTCACGGTAAAGAAACAGCTGTAATTACTGAAGGAAGTGGGTGCAAACAGTTTAACTGGTGGTAAATAAATTGCTGTAACTACTGAAGGGAGGGGGATTAAAACTTTTAACTTTTTATTACTTGTAAACTTTGTTCATTTTACAATTTATTTCACCCCACATTTGATGAAACTTGTTTTGTAGTATTCCCTAGTGGATGGAGAGTATGGTGAGTTTCTCTTTTTTAATATTTTATATATCGTTTGCTCCAAGTTAACACACCTTACACCACATATTCTCCTTTCCACTAGGCGAGCCTGAAGATGAAGTGATGGCACTTCGAAACCGGTCACACTCAATGTTTTGTTGAATAATTAAACATTGACTTTCCTTGTGAGATATAAAGGACTTTTTCTCCCCCTTCACCTTAAAAAGTTTTATTGATGTTGCATATTACAAGTCCTGTTTTAAAATTTACCTTCGGGAGGGCAGCATTCATTTGCCCCTCTCCTCCTCCCCCACACAAAGAAATAGCTGTAGTTTATTAAGGAAGGTGATGCAAAAAAATAATTATTGGTGCATACCTGGTGTATCACTAGAGCATTCTAATACAATAGTTTTTTTTTTGAAAAATATCATTGGGGGGACAACTTTATTGTCCTACAAAATTAAAAAAATTAAAAACGAGTTTAAAATCCTGCTGATTCCCCAATATACGCATAAAAAAGTAAACGAAATTGTATTGCTTAATTTAAGACGCGAAAAAGAATGGCAGGCCATCGACCACATAGATTTTGTGAACTACGAAAATTGAGCGACTCAGCAGGATATGAAAGACCATCGAATTTTTTAGAGTTATTGTTGATTGGAGAGTCAAGAAGGTGGATTCAGAAAGTGACTCCACTGCGGACTACATATAGTAATAATAGGAAAAAGTAATAAGAGTAATTAATAATAATATTAAATAATAGACCCAAACGTTTTTGGGAGATTGTGACGTACTCGTACCCTAACTGAATATAAGTTTCAATTATTAAATGTTTCTCAATAATTAGTGAGTTACTCAACCTTTTGTAAAACTATTGACTGAGGTGTAACTAATATTATTTTATATTTTTTGCATATTTTATATTATTTTTCAACGGCAAAACATGATAAAAACAAGTAAATAATTAGACTTAATCTGTCTCAGTTCCCGTATTTCTTCTTAAGAATGAAAGGTAGCAAGGAGCAACCATTATATCAAACAAAAGGACCGTAACACTCATGTCGTTAGGTAATTACATCATTAATTTTTATTTGTTGGCCTTCTCGGGGATTAATAATGTATTTAGCCAGGGGAAATGAATTCAATTATTTAACACGATCTCCCTTTTCCCTTTTATCACCCTCATAAACCAGTTTTCAAATTTGCTGGTTCCAAAAGATCATACAGAATCCGCAAAGCTTTGTGTTTTGGGAAAAATTTTTAAATTACATCAATTTATTTGTTTTACAATACAGGACAACAAAACAGAACACAATTAATTAAAAATAATTTCCTGTCTAATATAATTATATGGTACTTTTAAATAATGTTACCAGCATTGCAATTTTGACCCGGAAACACTGAGTTTGGTGATTATTTTTGGAACACCAGGTTTGTACTAAAATTTTCTATGTGTTCTGCAAATATGTAAATATAGAATGCAGATCTATTTGCAGGACGACACAAAGGATCAGCAAGTCCAGGGTGGGATTTAAAGAAAATGAATAATAATAAAAAAAAAACAAGTGAAGAGCCAAAGTGATACTTTTCCACTTAAGAATAAATGTTTAGCAGTATTTCTTGGCAAGGACATTTAAAATAGTACCCTTATGATACACTATTAAATGTTTTTAATCATTATAACTGTTAAATAATTATTTATTTTAATGAAAACAAATGGTTAAAATGATAGATACCCTAAGTGGACAAAATGAAGTAAAAATAGATGTTCCCTAAGGAACAGTACTTGGACCAATCATGTTCTTGGTGTATATAAACTCTTTATTAAAAACAAATGTTAATATAATAGTTATTTCATATACATATGAAGATCAAAGCTCAACTGGCTATAAGCAAATTTAAAAATTGGTTTAATTTTCACAAACTTTCCTTAAATGTTTGCAAAATAATATTTTTCTTCTTTTTTCTATTTTTATGTATACAGTTCTATTTAAAGTGATATTTATTTAGAAAATCTAAACAAACACGGTATATATTTACGGTATTTTTACAATAAAATTACAATTATTAAGAGTACACTTTGGTGTTGGAATAAAAAATAATATCTTACCAGAATCACATTAGTTGATTTTTCAGAGACAACCTAAAACAAAGAAAAAAGGATTATACATTAATTTAAATATATTGTACTATTCGTTATAGTAAACCTTTACATTTTGGTCTACATACCACTTTAGGCGCCGATTTCTTAAGCTCGTCGACTTAAACGAACATATTCCACTACTATTTGATATTCTATTACTAAATTATTTAAATATAAAAATGAAACTAAAAGTCCAATTAAGAAACTTCTAAATTTCATAATTCTTAGGAAAATTTCCTTGAAATCACAAAAAGTACTGCAAGTCCTCCTGTAAATAGTCACGACGGATAGACTGGATTGCCGAGGATAATTCAAACAATGCAAAAAAGATTTAGTGGAATAAATTCAGTTCTCTGTTTAACATCTAACGCCTCAAGTACTGCAATTGGAGCATCGAAGCAGCAAAATCAGATAATTTTGATTTATCATCAAAATTATTTTCAACCCAAGAAGTCTATAAAACATATGACAAAGCACTGCTAAGTTAGAGGGTGTACCTTCCATTTTAGAGACCAAAGATCTAGCAACAGAGCAGGAAATAGATGTGGAACTGCAATATATTCTGACGAATAACCACACTTCGTGAAAAATTGTTAAAATCGCACCAATCGGTTCTCAAATCTCTATTTTCTGTAATGCAGCTGGTAAAAAAATCCAAACGATCATCTCAGGAACTCTAGGCTATACCATTATCAATTACCTTCATTATTTGGCACATCCTGGAGTAAGAGCTGCAGTGAAATTAGTTCCGGAAAAATCTATAAACACAACAAAAGTGTTCTCATAGAATTTTTAGTTCCTGACAAAATATTTCAACACGTTCATTTGAATATTGTAAAGGATTTAAGTAATGTCTTTACCTTAATAGATTGCTTTTATAAATGACATGAAGCAGTGTATGAATAGAGGATATTTCTGCAGAAAAATTGCGTCAGTATTCTATGAAAACTGGATATGTATTTTTGCTAATTTCTTACGATTACTACGGATTAAGGTAGACAGTTTGAGAGCCCTCACTTTTCAATATCTGATGAAATTAACAGGAATTCAAAGGAGAAAAAGCACACTATATCACCCGTAATCGAATGGTATCCTAGAACAATGACAGAAAATCTATAAAAGTGTGATACTTTGTTACCAAACAGAAAAATTATATTAGGAGTAAGAACTTGTTTTAAACCTTTCCTTTTCTCTCGTATATTTTTCTGAAAACTTTTCATGAACGTTAAATGAAAAAACTTTATTGGCATCTGCCAATGCGTGTCGATGATCAAATTCAGAAACACAACTCTAGGAAACACTGCATAGAATCCTAATTTTCTCGGAAACTTCTTTACTCTCATTTCCAACTACGGCTTACTTATTATTTTCATCACGCTGGCTGCCGCTGTCTGTAAAACATCCAACAAAAAACCACTCATCCTTATTAGCTGCTAATTGAGTGGTATTTGGAAAGGAAATCCCTTGGAAAAATTGCAGATTGTCGGCTACATCCGAGCACTCGCGAAAAAATCGTGCAATCCGAGCAAATATAAAAGAAAACTCTTCCATCTGGAAAGTTATTGAAATCCTTCCGGCATTTCCATCAAGGTAAACGGCGCATAGGCACAAACGTGCCGGCATCCTGCAGAAACATCGATGAGTGCACTTGACTTTAATTTAAATCGTTGAACTTTTTTTGAAAAATGTAGGTTTTCTTTATAAGTGGTACGTTTAAAAAAATAATTATTTTAAGCATACACAAGTAGGGTGTGAATTGTTTTTATAATTTTATGTAAATAAAAATTTCCTTGGTTTATTCGATCATGTTTTTATGTTCCATCATTTAGCACAAGCACGATTATAAACAGTTTAAAATTTTTAAAATAACATAAACCTCATCTTTCTATTTTACAAAGTGTGAAGGTGTATTCGAAATAATAATTTTTATAATGTTTGGTACGACGTGTTCTATTACTATTAAGTCACGTTTTGTGATGGTTTTGGTCTCCATCCATCAGTAAGTTTAAAGTGTATTAAACAAATTTTTAGATCGCAATAAAAACTTCTTATTTTAAGATAAACTCGTAAGGTTTATCTATAAAAAAATTAAATCTCTGTTTTGACTTGGACTCTGCCATTCAGCCAGTCGCAATATATAAGTTTAAATTATAATACGATTATAAATATAAGAAATAAAAGAAAAAAACAATCTTCTTATCTAGAGGACTATCAGGACATTTTTTAACACACATTTATTAAAAACAGTGTCTTGCTATTGACATAATAAGTCTACATTAAAAACTGCAAGAGGCGTTAGTCAAATAAATGCATATACTCTCCAATTATCGATTTCCACGCAGACACGCAACATTCCTGACATTGTGAATCGAAACTAAATAATTAAAATTCAGGAATATGTTACATATGCAAATTCTTAGCAACTTTCATGCATACACTTGAAAAAATCAAGTAATAAAGGACACGCAATTTTCTATATCTTTTAAAATCTTATTGAAAAGTCTGTATTATTTAATATTTATAACAACGGAATTTTGGATACTCAAATTTATATCCTTCTGGTACAAAAAAGTTTAATATTTTAGCCATTTATTATCGCAGGTACCTGTTCCTTACACCAATAGATTAAGCTTAATTTTTTTAATAAAGTTCATCAAAAAAATTAAAATTTTACTATAAATACTGCCCCTTGATTACAGCCTGGTCCTCAATTAGGTTTTGTTTCTTTTTGATTTATTTTTCGAATATTTAAGATACATATGTAATAACTAAAATTGTTTAGTTTATCATCGATTCATCTAATTCTTATAAAATCGTTACATTAACATTAAACCCTAGTAATTACTCTATCTAAAAAATAATCCATTAAAAAGTGGCATATGGGTTTGCTATAATAGCTGACGATCTTTAAAAACTTCTTCTGTAATGTCATAAAAATTTAGTTAGAAATTCTCCTTTTTTATTTCTTTCTACAAATTTTTTTGGTCTATATTTTCTGTTATTTATAGGAGATTTTTATATTTATTGTATTTTGCTTGTTTGCACACCAGAATAACATTGCATACACTTTTTTCATGAATGACTTTTGACACCTTAATAATTATGAAGAATAATAGTAAAAATTATTAAAAAATCCACTTAATAAATATTTTTTTGTGGTAGGTATTAGGGCAGTTAAATTCATTTTAGTTTAAATTAATTGATTCAGGAATATACATTCATAAATATCTATGAGGGAAATCAAAGAATTTTCCAATTAATCCCCAGTTTGTTTTCACCCTCTGAGAATTTTCACTTGTTTAGGAAATTTAAACAGATTATTCTTAAATTAATTCAGTTCTCGTTATTGATTTTATTCGGTTTTCTATTAAATTCGACAATATGAAAATATATACGACGTTTAGGATGTAAAATATTGTATAATTTAGAAGCTTATAGGGTTGTTGGAACTAAATCGTTAAATGTTAATATATTTAATATATTATAATGGTATTTAGTTTTATAATGATATTGTAATGTGTTATTTTATTTTACATATTATTTATGCAACATTATAAATACTATATTATGATCCTAACAATTACAAAGTGCCACCTCTCGAAGAACATGAAAATTCCTATCCTATTCCTATCTCAGTTGGGTTCTGGTACGTTAGACCTAATTTCACATTACCGTATTATATGAGTACATAAATAAATAGTAAATCATAAAAAAATATCTTTATTTAACCTGTCGCATTAGAAAATTAGAATAAATAAAAAAACTCGTAGGAATCAAAGACAACTTTTACGTAAAAGTAAAAGATGGATTTAGCATTTGAATTTCCCCCCCTTTATCCATGTCACTCCTCAGGTATTAATTATTTATTATTTACTTTCCATTTTCATATAAACCACAACCCTAACAGATACGGACAGTATACCGTTACATCAGCTTTTCATAGAAAATGATTTTCAAGATTAAGATTTACTTTCTAAGAACGCTCATAAGTTTTAATCATACTAATTTTGCTTGAGCGTATAATGTGAACATCCAAAAGGAAATTTTCTCTGGGAATATTAATTTTTTAGATTTTAATTAACGGTGTTCAGTAACGGCATATTTGTTCTGAATAACTTTATCGTCCTCTCTAAATAGGTTGTTTCGGTCTTTGTCCCTTCTGCTTTTATTATATTCTATTTTTATGTATGAGAGAGTAATAAAACAGCATTTCTAATGCAAAACTTAGTACGGTCATTTTAAATATTTTTACAGAATAATCTAAATATTTCCTAAAATTGTAATAAATGTACCTGAACTATTACAAGTTTTGGGTCTTTTATTGGTCCTTTATAAACATAAGCTGTACAGAACAACAGAAAAAGGTTTGGACAGGCCAAAAGCCCTTTGTATTAAAGATTACATAGCCGTATCTTAAGATTATTTTCAATAAGTACCTATTTGCCAATTTTGTTTTATTTTAATTCCAAGAATTTCTTACAGTAATCGAATTATAAGTAGATAAATACCTTCCCAACAAATTTCACTGAAAATGCGATTATAGGTTTTCCATTTAGTAAGGAGGTCCAAGTTGTGTATTCTTGATAGTTTACTAAATGTCGTTTAGTTGCAACTTGCAAGGTGCAGTGTGAATTCTAGTGTGATCATGGAACATTTGGAAGGGCCGCGTAAACGACAAAAAATCGGTCCTTTAACAGTTAATGAAAAAACATTATAATTTAATTGTTTTAAATCATTTACAGACAAAAATTTATGTAAAAGTGTTGATGACACAGTGGAATTAGTTAGTAGTACGCTTGGTGTTGGGAAATCTAAGATTTACAGAGTTGTTAAAGAAGAGAAATGTGGCGAGTTTCAAACAGCACGTAAAGCTCCAGGAAAATCAAAATTTCAATTAGAAAATCTTTTGAAAGAAAGACTTCGAAGAAAAGTGCATGTGTTCTTCTTTAGAAAAGAATTTCCGACAGTAGACAAAGTTCTTGTACGGTTCGAGATGATAA